TCTCCACTTTGAAAGTGTCCCAAAATAACCGTCCCTATTTAAGAGAAAAAATAACCGACAAAACAGATCAGTTAGTTTATTTTTTGTAGATGTGTGCTCCTCTCAGTGGGAAAGGATTATTTGCATATCTTTTTCCGTTGCTGTTGGACACGGACACTAACCGCTGGAACAGGAAATATAAGTGTTAGAGCGCGGTTACCCACGAACGCCCTTATATTAGTAAAATGTTTAAATTTACCTTGGTCTTAATTTTTGCATTTATCCTTACGCATCTTTGTTTTTGCTTTTATTTTTACCTTTGCCTTTATCCTTCTCTTTATCAATAGAATGAAATGCACGCTCTCTTCTTTGTGGCGGATCCAGCGGGGGTTTTGGGGGTTAAACTACGTGTCTGTCATATGTATTACATCGATACTGAAAATACTGGTATTTCTAAAAGCTTGTTTTCCTGCCGTATATACATATGGGCATTCCCATGGTGGCGCACGTGACAGTCGTACGATTTCGATGTGATACAAAAAAGGAATACCATTTGTTTTCTTTAACTTTTTTGGGCCATAGTATAGCACATAATTAGCTCTATATTTAACCGAAAAATGAAATCAATCGAACTGCTTGGTCCTGAAATATAAGCATTTAAAAAGAGGGTCGTTACGTGACAAAAAATGGAAGTTGATTTTTTCTTTTCTTACAAAATCGCAAAACTCTGCGAATTGTGGATGGCTATTTTCATGAAACTTATTTTAATATGATTTGGAGCAATTCTAGTTGTTTTTAGAGTTTTTTGAATTAATGCAAATTGTTTCAATTCTCTTTTACAACCCCAAGTGTGAAACGTGACGTGACGTGGCGTGACGTGACATAAATTTCCATCGTTATATTTTTGTTAATATTGCTTTTAAATGAATTTTTAACGCAAATAAAACTTGTATTTTATGTAGAATATACTTTATGTTTTGACTTCAGGGCCAATTCAGGGTCAATTTATTAGAAATCTATGATTTATTATGTTTTAACCACATACGCCAAATTCGAACCAAATCGGACCATAAATACGGTTTTTCGAAATATCTTGACCTTGGCACCACCTAGGAAGACCATTTTATGCAAACATGATTCTACTTACATAGCCAGTATATATTTTAAAAAGCAGACAAGTCGGCCCGTAAATACGTTAGATATAAAACTTTTATTTTTTTTGTCGTGGTGGACCCTCCGCTGGAAACACCCATATGTGAGTTTTTCCAATGGCTATTCTGAGCAGCCGCTTATCTACTTTCAACTCCTCCCTGATAGTCGTGGTCCTATAACGGGGTAACTTATGCTCCCCCTGCTGGTCTCTGAAGATCCACGTCTACACAAAAACTGATGGCATAAAGCATAGCTTGGAAGATACTAGGGATTTATTCCATTTAATGGGTATCACCACAATATATGTAAATGTAAAAGACCCGACTTTATATGAAATGTGCCTAGAAAGTGACGAGACTACGGCAAAAGTATCCGTCCTGCAATGGACAACGGCCTACGTGCCTGCGATACTAAGTCCATCCCAACATCTAGAAAGAAAATGATAAAAATGCAAATCAGTTTAGTGGGAATTCTTCAAACTATGTAATGTGGAATTATGTAGCTTCGACTTCCTTCTAAAATCTCATAATCGAATCTTGTGAGTGCATATGCTGATTTTGTTCAAAATTTGCATAAATCGATCACTCTATTGTTGGTTGCGTTGTAAATAATAAAACAAAATAAAACAAAAAATCAACCAACACCAACACACTAATAAAACAAACCTCGTGTCACTTCTTTTCCCCATTTCCAGCTTTCAATCCAATCCTGCGCTCGTAAAGGTATTGTAATTCAAATTTCGTACATGCTCAGACAAAAACTACGACACACAGTCACATTTGCATATTAATCACTTACAAGCTTGTCAAATGCGAAATGCAAAATTACCAACGACCCAAATTGTATTCGAAAACAGGCTCCTTCCTAATCACCAATACAGATTTCCCTCCGTCCCTGCAGTATCAGCCAACGATCACGCTTCGTGCTTTTGTGGCATGTGGTAAGTAAAAACTTGATGAACACATGTACGGGTACGGGTAGTCCTTCTGGGAGGGCCATTGTAAAACAAAGTAAAATATGTAAAAATATTTCAAGCCGAAATCAAAAGCCTAAACCAAACGGGTCTTTGCCTCTACATACATATAACGAGTATGCGAACAGCGCATGGAGTTACCGCAGGCGCGCCAGTTAGTATGCTTACCCACGTGGCAGTGCGCATGCGTGATTGTACTGATTGTACATTGTATGCAACGTGTGTGTGTGTGTAAACGAGCGCGGTGTTGTAAAAGATATGCAAATTGAATGGAGATTATGGAATGAGACAATCCCTTCGCGCACACCGAAATTCCAGTTAGAACAAAAACACGGCGCGCCCAACCCTTAATAGACCCATTACGCATGCTTAACGAACCAGCGAACCGAACCGTTCAGGCTGACACGCTCCAAGCGAAGCGGGGAAAAAACTAGCCAAAACTTGCACTAAAATTAAAATTACGTGTCTGCCTAATGAGCGACTAGAAAAACCCGTCGACACGAAGACAATTCCAGCTAATGAACTCGCGAACACGTCGGCGCGTCGACGCATCGACGGGTTGTAAATCCAGCGCAGCCACCTTTGCATGCGCTTCGCTTTATGTGTGTGTGTGTGTGTGTGGATAACTCTTTTTTTTTTTTTTTGGTTGAATATAAACAAAAATGAAAACATTTATTTGCTTTAATTACCAGTCAGTCGACACGGTACAGCATGGCGCGCGAGTAAAAAAGGTGGAAAGTTGACTTTTTACGGCTGCTTATTTTACCTATGCCGAAACATTTTCAAATTCTGCGCTGGTATCGTCATCTGCGAACTCGTCGTGACCGTGCATAGTTTAGCACGACGCACGCCGAAAAGGACTCGAAAAATCTCGTTGTCGGGAAAAAAGCATTCGCGTGCCATACCGCTGCTGTGGATTATCGTGATTCCAATGAGCCAACGGCGACCCTCCTTACAATGCGGACCTTTTTTTTTTAATACGCCGCGCCGCCGTCTTGAAATTCCAGTTTTATACTTTTCAATTTCGTGTGCATAAATGACAAAAAGTGTACGATATTCACTGAAAATTAAGTACAGTACCAAAAACAAATATACATGCAGGCGCATGTACGCACACACATACATATGTACATATACATATACATCCATTTACATCTATGCACATACATAGCTGACGGAATCTCCCCAGGTAATTTTCACGTGTGCGTCACGTTTTATGTGATTTTCCAGTTCACTCATAATCTGCAGGGCGCTATTACTGTGTATGTGTGTGTGTGTGTGTGTGATTGTGCGTGTGGCGCTTCGAGCGCGTGCCATCACTACACATATTCCTGTCGACCGGCTGACAATGCAATCGCAAAAGTAAACGCTGCCGCGCAGCAACAATGATAAATTGGCGAACGTCAATGCCGCCACATCGACTCGCCCCGCGACTCCGTTTGCCACAACTCGATCGAACCCAAAAAATATACATATGTGTGTATGTGTGAATGAAAGTGTAAACGCTGAACCACGCGCCACATGATAAATTGCCACATGCCACTCCCAGCGCACACAAAGCCATGCAACGCTGCCACTGCGACGGACGGCACTCACTTAAGTATTTTTGTTGCTCGTTTTACGGCATGCAGCTCAGCTCAGCTTAGCTCAGGCGCAGCGCAGTGTGCTGCTCGTTTGCCATTCTTTTTTCTTTTACCACCGGCATGTGCTCAAATTTCTCAAGTCGCTGTGGATTAAGAGTTAACGTTGCGAACTACAAAGTTCAACTTTGAAATTGGATATTGGTGCAGCCAGCCGTCCGTTCTCGCATCCACACTTGCTCGCTTTGTTGTTGTTGTGTGCTTGTGCGCGGCACTCGCTGCTGTCTGCTGCATATTTAAGTGATAATCGAAGAGATGGTTTTTGCACACGCATTCGCGGCGAAGGAATCATGAAAAATTACTTCATTCAGGGGGAGATTTTCTGTTTGCAGTTTATATTTTGTTGTTGTTGTTGCTGAAAAAGCAATTTAAATGATAGATTCGCAACAACTTGCACAGCTTTAAAGAACAGAAGACAGTGTGTCAGCAGGAACATGGGTAAAATGGTGACTTACTTTTGAAAATTTAAGATTTGTTTTAAAACACTCACTTACATACAGGTCTATTCTGCGCTGGTAATAAAAGTTTTGTAACCGATAAATAAATTTCCTGTAAATTTTTTAACCCTTGTCGCATGCTGTGTACTCTTGTAACCGGTAAATTTTGTTACCATCTCATAAGCTGGTAACCAAGTATTGCTTCGTGAAATATATGTATGTACAATGCCAGAATTTCCACAATTCTTCATAGCCGAATTGCTGAATATTTTAACTGCATTACCAACGTACCTAGAATCGCGTTAACGGGAACTGGTAATATTTTTTGGTAATAAAACTTTCCGGTTACAAAATCTTCGGTAACGTGCAGAATAGACCTGTTAGTAGGAAATTGATTGAAACGGTGGACTGCAATTAAATTTCCAAACAAAAAAAAAAACGTTTCATTGAACGTATTCGCCTTTAGGCCGAGGTCACGCAATGAGCGGCTGAGCGGCTTAAAATTAAAACATTTGAAATACCATTGAAGTCGCCCCGCAATAAGCGGCTTTATGAGCCATACAGAAACGCCGCTCAGCCGCTCATTGCGTGGCCTCGGCCTTAGCGGTATGCGCCTAGGGATGTAATGGGGTATAGTGGCGATTCTGGGTGTGGAGCTACAGTTGCTTGACTATAGGCGTTCGGACAACCTGGGCAACGGGACCAGCCTACGTGCGAGATGCGGTAACCAAACCAATGGAAGCCTTAAGGCACCTCAGAAGGAAAGGGGCTCTGACGCACTTAATTTAAGCATCCGGTGTAGTCTGCCACTTGAATTCACCATGTGCTTGCGACTGCAAGCGGCTCGCTAAACACAAGTGTATAAACGCGTACTCTGAAAAATTCTCCCTCTCGCTGAGTTCGTGTTTTGCGCTAAGTTTTGGACCCGTCACATAAAACCTTTTTCCAATGAAAGAGTTCACGAACGATTATTTATTTATTTGTATTTATTTAAATCTACAGTACAATGTACCTTACAGACTAGAAAATGTATTAGATAGAGATAATTGATAATACCAAATAATACAAAAATCAAGCGATTAAATTAATGGCTTTAATAAAAGCCGATTTCGGCAAAGAAAAGTCTAGCTGATGTGTATTAGATAATGCATTGAATTCCCGAATTGCTCGAGAAATTGGCGCGTTACTTCCACATTTGGTTTTGAAGCTTTCCCCGTAAAAAGGTAATCATTTCGGAGACTTCTTTGTAGGAACATTAAAGCTCATCCGCTCAAACAAAATTGGGCAGTCAATGATGCTACTAATTATATTATAACGAAAGAACTGTTCTTCTCTTTGCTAAAGTACTTAAGGTGATCAGCATTAGCCGCGGGCCCTATGATGGAACAGCAGTCTCAAACCGTAGCGAACGCAGTGCGAATTTCAGAAAGACTTTTTGAAGGCGTTCAATTCTACTTATCGATAGTTGGTCACATGGTCTCCAAACTATTACCGTATATTTCAAGTGAGAATGAACAAGAACCGTAAAAAGCAATTTTACAGATATATGGGTCAGAAAACTCGGAAGTGTTACGCCGAATAAAGCCAAGAACAGAGTACGGTTTTGAAAGGATAAAACTAATGTGAGTATTGAAGGATAACTTAGAGTCAAACACGACTCCAAGATCCTTAGTCTCTGTTACTTTTTGAAGCGCACAGTTAGCAATAGTGTACTGTGTAGAAATAACATTTTGACGCCTTGAAAATGTTAAGTGAAAACATTTTGTTATATAGAGAGCCGACTTCACCGTAAACGCAGTTTACCCAAGTCCCTTTGAAAATTTATTACATCGGCTGAGACCTTGACAACTGTGAAAACTTTCAGATCATCGGCGTAAAGCAAATAATTCGAAAAAGAAAAACAGTTGCTGATATCATTAATAAAAAGGACAAATAAAAGAGGTCCTCAAATGCTCCCCTGAGGTACACCTGAAGTAGCCACAAAAGGGTCCGAAGATACACCATCAATAGATACCACAGAAAATCTCTTCGTTAAATACGATTTAATCCATTCTAAAATCAACGAGTGAAAACCTAAACAAACCAGCTTATTTAGTAAGATCTTATGAAATACGCTATCAAATGCATTTGAAAAATCGGTATAAACCCAATCGACTTGGAATCCTGCCGAGAACGAAGAAGTAAAAAAATTCGCTAAAAACTGCAAGACTAGATACTGTCGAGCGGCCTGACACAAACCAATGCTAGATCTTGTCCTTAACGACACATTCAAACAGTTTTGAGATGTTCGATAGTTTCGAGATTGGCCGATAGTTTCGAACGTCATTTTTTCTTCCACTGTTAAAAAAAAGGTGTGATGGTAGATAACCTCCAGTCATCAATGAAAATACCTGACGATAACGATCTATTATAGATTATCTCAAGAGGAATTGCTAAGGCCGTCTGCATCTGTTTGCGAAGAAGGTTTAAGAGAAAGCATCCTCTTTATAATGTCATCCGATGAAACAAAAAGAGCCCCTAAGCTAAGAATAGAAGATACATACATATTTCAGAAGAGAAGTTAGGGAATTGCCGTCATCAGCAACGTAATTTGACATAAAAAAAAGTCAGCAAACAAATTAGCTGCTTCGACAGGATTACTAGCAAATTTATCGTCGAGCATTACCGAAGTAGGTATACTTGCGCATAATTTTTTGGATTTGACAAAATTCCAAAATGATTTCGGATTAGATTTAATGCTCTGTTCAGTGCTACGAATACGAATGGACATAAACGCTCCAGCCCTGAAAATATTCAACACTATAAGCCGCTGGTGGAAGAGGAACCTACCTTTTCCAGGTGGGAAGGACTTGACTTCACTTGGTGTAAGTCGAAGATGTACATTTCCTACATGGTATCGAATTTAATGTAAATATATTAACAATACTACCTTAAATTTAAATATGCAAATATTCTTTAAAAATTTCTTTAAGCTAATCTTCTTCCTTAAGAATATTATCCGATAATTCGTTCTTCCATTTATCCAACAATGTCGACATATCCGCCTTGGCAGGTAAATTGGACGCTCCACTTCCAACTCCAAAAGGACGCAATACATAAAGGAGATAATCTAGAACGTAGAACTCCTTTGGCTTAATGTAATGAAAAGAAATGGAGCTGGGCGAACAACATTGTAAATTCTGAAAGGAAAACGAAGCAAAACAAAAACAACACCAAATTGAATTCAACGGAAGACAGGCGAAAACAAGTACATACATATTTAACTTTTGTAGATATGTATGAACACACAAACCTATGTACAATACATTGATATATGTATGTAGTATATATGTACATATATGTGTATATATAGACAATATTTTTAGACAAATTACAAACGTAACTATTGGCACAGCAAATACATAAAAGCAATTTGGCAAATCCACCAAAATTAAACGCCGAATAAAAATAACAAGCCAGTAAGTAAGTAATTAATCTCCATTCGACAATCGACAGTTGCAATTTCTTGCCGCCCCCATTTTGTACGACCAACTTACCCGCACCCATTTCCCCAATACCAAACACCCCACTTTCTGTAAGCTTTGTCCAACTGACCTTATCTCG